CCTTCATCAGTGGCAGGGCGGTTTCCAACCGCACCGACTTTCTCAAGCATTTGAAGAGACTGAGGTTCGCATTGGCACTTCCCGCACACAAAGCTTGTCAGAAGAGTCTTCCTGGATCAAGCAGTTGGCTTTGCCAATCTCTAATATATGCAGCACCGAGACATTAGTTGGGACTGTCTTTACCTTAGCGGCTTCAGGGATGCTGATGACGGTGAGTCATACGTGCGAGAGCTCTACGAGGTTGCACCTCTGCCAGCATTTGCTGACAAAACAGCTGCTGTTTCACCAAGCCAAACAATCTATGAACATGAAAGGTGCAACAGAAGGCAAATGCCAAAGCTGGTTCTCCCGAACCTGTCAGGAAACTTACAAGGTTAGTTTCTGAGTTTGCCGCATGATTTGCTTGCTCAAGGTTCGAGCCCTTCGATCTCCTTGTCTTCGATTTCACATGCTCCGTGATGTTCTAGGCAACTTGGAGGTTGAAAGCTACAAAAAACCAGGATTTCCCCTTCTGAGATTGCCCTTGGTTTGCGCTACTGCTACCTGCCTCCATTGAGTGCAGCTTGACAGCCTATTTAGCATGGACGGTTCACTTTATTTGATGATTCCAGGTTTGAACTGGCGCTTCTCCCGAAATGTGCTTCATGCGATTGTATGCTTCGCATTTGCCGCTCAGCTGAGAGAACCTAGTGGGTGCAGTATTGACACCAGCTGTAAGCAGCTGCACACTGAATCTACTGTCCTGTCATCAGTTGCCAGCTTCAGACAAGACTTGCCTTCAAAGCTTCTGAAACATTTGTTTTCACTGTTTTCACCAGCTTCTTTGAGCATTGTGTCAAGCTTGCTATTGACTTGTTCTCCTTCTCCTGGTTGCAAGTCATTTTGATAGAACAGAACTACAGTACCAGTAGCAACTAGGCTTTTTTGGTGCTTTTTTGTTTGCTCAATTACGGTTTTGACCGAGGATATCTTTGTGCCGCGCGCCTTGTCAGCCTTTGAGGTGGACGAGGCCACACGTCTCGAGGTGAGGAGGGCAAAATTGGATTTTAAAGATAAGAGGACATCGAACAATAGGAACGTTTCTTAGTATGTATGTTTTGCTGGTGCTTTAAACATTTTTGTTTATTTTTGCGTCGTTTTGTAAAAGACACCTTTGTTTTGGAAAGACGTGGTTCTTAGTGTTGTGTGAAACAGTTGACAACAAGGGGTAGACAGGTGAACAAAGAATATAGCAGCAGACAGAGAGTACGGGAGAAGCTGTTGTTTCAAGCATTCTTCTTGTAGTAGGGGTAGTTATGTCAAAGACCTGCATTACAAATGTCAATTTTTCAATATTCATGGTGCAATAGATGCGATGGTGTATACAGGGGCACCGCCAAGACTCTTCTATCGTGGGGCCAGAATGAAGGTTGGGCGTTTTCGCTGGTTGCCTATCAACGTCTCCCGTTGACATATCTATCTATTGCTAAAACTAGGGCTACCCCATCGAACAGCCACCAGTTGCAAGCACACGCTTGCTTGGCTTCTTTGGCAACGATGCAGCCCTTTTGCACAATCCAATGAACTTCACTCTGCACCCTCCCGTGTTTGCTCAAGCCTCAGCTTTTGTGATAAGCTTGGAATTGCATCGTCACCGACAGCAAGACCCTCCTTGCTCAGCCAAGCTTTGTTTCCGTAGCTCAACCTGATTGAATTGATTAAGATTCAAGATCGATTCTAACAAGAGAATCCCGCACAATTGGTCAATATTTGGCCGAGCATCCTGGCAAGTGTTACTGTAATTAATTTGTTTACTTTCACCGCTGGTTGCCTGGCACCCGGATAATCTGACATATCTATATGCAGCATATGCATGTCTATTTGTACGTAAATGTCTATCTGTATGTATTGTACATATATGTTGCTCAAGCTCTTCTTGTGCAATCTTCCGTTTGCAGCCAGCTTTCGATCTTTTGTTGAAGGGCGGGAGAATTGTCTCAAACGATCCTGAATTAGAAGTGTTCAATCAGGAAATATTAGTGCTCTTGATCTTCTTGACGTGACTCGAGGCTCTTAAAGCCCTCTCGGCCTTACCTTTAAAGTTTGATGAGCTGCTTTTGATCGGCTGTTGTGTGGTCAGCAGGCGGAAGAGTCCTGCGGTTTATTGGCGCGACGACCTTCCCGGGAGCCTCGATAGCACCTCAAAGAACAGAAGTTAGCCAGGACGGCATATGCAACCTTTTTTGTGGAACGCTGATGATGATCTTGAGATCTGGATGGTGGGGAAGGTAGGGTTACAAAAGCTCTAGCCTCTAGTCAAAGCCAGAAGCTTCTTATTCCTTCCCTTACTATTCATTTTGAAGACTAATATACTATATACACATATAAAGGAATATATATATATACATATATATACAGTAGATATAAGGTGTTATGTATTGTGGATATGCACTTTGACTACCAAGGAGATTTTGGGCGTCGAGACGCCCGAGGACTTCTCTGCAGACCCACTGGGCCTGGAAACACGGCTCTTCCGGCAACTGCCGGGGCCCTTAAAAGCCTGCAAAGAGCACTGCAACGCCTAAGAGCAATGGCCTCCAACCTAAGAGTGGGTCCGTAGAAGCGACACCCTTTGCTCCGTTCGTAGCGTCCTCTTGCTCCTAGTCGTAAGGCCAGGAGCCCCTAGTAGCATCCTGGCTCCTAGTAGCGGTGCCCTTTGCTCCTAGTAGCTTCTTGCTTCTTTTTCTTGGGTAGGCCACAAGATGATGCACTGTACATTTCAGCGTGGTCGTGTTAAAGGAGCCGACTGTGATGAGAGATACCACGGTAATTGCAACTTTCTCGGCGCTTCTTGGTTTGCTGGAGTTGAGGTACCGTGAAAATCGCAGCAGGAAGTTTTCTTGAGGCGCGTTTTGTCAACTTGTCCCAGCGTTGCCTTGCTCAAAGATTCAGATGATGGCTCTGGCCCTGCTTCTTTAGCACCCTTCCAGGCCCTCCAAGTTTTAATTGGCCAAGTGTGACCAAGAAGCACTTAAGGGTCGTCCTTTTGACACTGCAAAGAAGAGGTGACATTGAGAGTGCGCTGCTGCGTTACCTTTGTTTCAGGCAGTACAGTGACGTTGAGGGTGTCCTTTGCCCAGAGGCCCAACCTCATCCAAACGGCTGGGTTGGGGAGTGAGACAGATTCAAAAGATGGCACAGAGCAGTCCACAGAGTGCGACTGTCGGCCATAGCAAGTGACAGGCTTTGGATCAGGTTTGTGACAGGCTTCGGATGTTGCTGGCAACCCTTTTAAGTAAACACAACCAAACACAAAGCCTGTAAAGCGATTCGTTTGAGGAAAACTATGGCCTTGAGTTGGCCTTTTTGGAGGCAACTCCTTTGTACATTGCTTGTGCAAAGCTGCAAAGCTCCATGAGGGAAGGGACTGGGAAGTGCTGCACAGCAGCTTTGATCTAATTGAAGCAATGGTTTAAAAAACTGCAATGCACTGAACAAAGTCGTGCTCGACTGACTTGTACAAGTTGTGTAACGGTCAAGGTCCTGCCAGTCAGCTACAGTACTGCTTGTGTTTCGACTGGAACAGAGCGCTTGGAGTGCGAGGCAGTGCTGCGTAGAATGGCATGGACCTGTAAGGCTTCCCATATTACATGGATCCCTCTCCAAGGAGATCAAATTGGACAGCAATCCGACGCACGAGACGCACGGCTGGTTTCAATGCACTAAAGGTCAGCGTCCTTCTGCGAAGCACCAAAAGTTGCACATCATCATGGTCGTGATTTGTTCTGCCTTTGCAAAAAGGAGACTCGCATCTCTTGAGTTTTGGAGATTTGCACAGCATTTGGCAGAGCTCATGGTGAGTGCTGTGCTTTGCCTATCGATTTATTGCCCTCAAGGGCAGTGGCCTCACGGCCCGATGCCGTGAGACTTGCCGCGTAGAATCCACGGCTGTACAAATGACTGTGACAGGAGTCAGGTCAGATCCCCTGAGGCAACTGTGTTGCCAAAACAAGCGAACACTAAACATGTTTTGGTTTTGGTTTCAAAGAGGAGGTTTCAAGAGGTGCCTTGGCCCCTGCAAATATTCATTTGGGGACGTCGCGTTTTTGTGATGTCCACCAGATGACATTTGAATGCTGGGCGTCCTTGTCTTCCGTTTCAGGCCTGGGGTCTCGTGCCAGGCAACGTTTCAGGGAGTGGAGTGAAGTGAAGTGATCCATGGCAAGTCTTTGTGTCTAGGGATGCTCGGACATTCATTTTTGTTGCTTGATACTTCAGACAGAGGATGGTCAGTAGAGCTGCTGTGGCTAGCTGCACTCTCCTTTGAACACTCCTGTATTCACCAGCAATGTAGACTCCAATGCCACTAGAGTCGGGACCGGTCCTTGCTCACCAATTGTCCTGCAACTGCGCCTTTGCGTGGATTGCTGGCAGCCATCAGTGTCCCCAGCACTATAACGGAAGTCTCTTCTGGTGAGCTAGAGACTGCTTTCATGGCGTGCTTGTCCCGCGGGCGCCAGCAGACAGTTTTGCCTCACTGTGCTCGGCAATGTGAATGCTTGTGATCCTATGGAAGCGTTGGAAGAGCCGGATGTTTTTGTAGATGTCAGGCACTCACCGCTGCTGCGTGGTTCCAAGTTTTGTGAAGCCAATTTTATGATTAGGTCGCATGTGAGCAGCTCCACTGTGCTTTTCCAACCAATCACAAGTGCGTCTCCAACTTGCATGAAAATACCGCCTCATTCAGCTTTGCTGAGCAAGACAGACAGCGAGGAAAAATGATGCTACAGAGTCGCCACGCCTTTGTTACTCTTGCTTTCTTTTTCACACTTTTCGCTTATTTTTTCTTTGTTTTGCAACAGCAAATTCACGTCTCTTTACTTCTTGACAGCAAGAGGTACCAAAAACCAGGTACCAACCTTTGTTCGTACACTTTGTTGGCACATCTAGGACTTTGCAAAGTGTTTGTAAATTAATATTTGCATCTTCGTTGCTGTGCTGCCCGGACTCGAATACTCCGCAGCAGTTTGAGCTTGAAACTTAAACTTGCTGCACGGGTGCACTCGGATAGTGCTGAGATCATACCGTTGGAACCTGACCAGGGTCTCTCTGCAGCAAAAGCCCACTAGCAGGTTGACAAACCAAGACTACAACTGACAAGAGTTCTAATTTGACATTTTTGTTTACATCGTGAAATAGCAACCGTTCAACTTTGGCACTTGAGCACCAGTCCAGCCAAGGTAATTCCTGCGCAGGGAGCAGCTTCTTCAGGTCCTTGCGCCACACGCACGCGCACACGCACGCGCACACACACACACACCATGTCGCTTCTGTGAACAATTTATAAATGGCTGGCCAGTCGAAGACGCAGATTGTTGGGAGAGCGTCACTTGTCATCTGAAAGAGGGAGGTGAGGGAGGTGAGGGAGTTGAGCGAACTCTCTGTCCAAGTCTAGTGGAACTCTCCGACTCTTCTCTTTTGCCTCTTTTGTGCCCAGACTTGGTCATGGCCCTCCACAGCTTCGTCGCTGCTTAGATTGCACAGAAGACTGGCCTTGCAAGGGGCAAAGGATAGATTAACAGTAGACTGTATTGTCATGATATTGTCGAGATCATGTCAAAGGATTTTTACTCGTTGCATTTAGAAGCTTGGGAGAGGTCTTGCAATGATGAGGCCTTGCCATCCTCATCTGCTCCGATTGTGGGCGCCGTGAGCCACAACAAAGGTCTGAACATTTTTTATACAGTATTCCTCCTCAATCTGTTTAAGACTTGCTTCAAGGATCTTCAAGGTAGAAACTGTGACCTTCAGAGTTGTGGATGCCTTTGAGATGTTTTCGGTTCCTTGAGGCCTTTTTTGGTCCTTTGGGCCTTTCATTTCTGCCAGGCCGTTCTCTGCCTCCTGGAACTGGGTCTGTTCCAGCTGCTGGAGCTGTCGCCATTGCAGGGATCAGCTTGGCATCAGACAGGAGGAGCAAGAGGCCGGGATTATCCACCTGGGAAAGCCAACAAATTGGTCACCAAAGGCCGATAGCCGCGAATGAGTTTTTGGATGTTTCTGGCGTGGATTATTTTGTCGCCAAGTCTGGGATTCACTGCCGGCAAGGACAGTGCGTCGCCAGATGGATCGCAAGCGGACCGTGACCAAGGACCCCTACAATCCAGAGTTCAAGGATGCCTTCCAGTTTCATGGCATTGTGAGCATTGTCGAATTCCAGAAACATTGCCAGATCCTGTAGACTTGGATTCTGAGGTTTAACGAGGCATACCCCAGCTCAGAGAAGATCTATCAAGAGGCCAGAATCCAGTGAGATGTGGGCCAGCTGCACAGCCATACTTTTGTCAGATCACCTATGAGCCAACTGGAGAAACACTCCGTGTTCCCCATCGCCGCATTCACCTGTCGGACGAGGCAAGCCCTGCAATTTGCTGTCCGGTATCGCAAGTGATTCAAGTCACACACCTTGCCAAGAGGGCATCTTGCACTTGCGAAGGATGCGGGCTGCGACCATTTGGATGTTTATGACACCTCCGGTCCTGCAGGCTTTATTCTGAGCTTGTTCTTTTGGATCTTTACTGTATTTGTTCTTTTACTCGCTTTATCACTTTGCCAAGTGCTCAGAGGCTTGAATCCTCGTGAGGGCCTGCCTAAGCTTCGCCGTAAGTGGATTTCGCATCGCAGTGCGGCTGCTGGGAAGCCAAGTACGGGTTCCAGCCAGTTGTGAAAAGCACTTCTCAAGCCATCTCAGAACTGCGGATAATACACAGACACCAAGTGGATCTCGTTAGACTTTGGACCTTTTGGACTTGATTTTGTTTCAGACCCAAAAGGTCTAATTGAACATTTCTGAAGAGGCTTCTTGACTTTTGCCTTCGCATTGTACGCATTCTCAGGAAGATGGCACCTGTACTCAAATGTACTATGCCAAGCAGGGCATCATCACAGAGGAGATGGCATTTATTGCTGCGCGCTGCAGCTCAGTTTTGCTGAAAAGTTAGAGCTCATTTTGTAAAATTATATGTATAGAATTTAGAATCATTGTAGCATACCGATACCAACCGGCTTGTGGCTGAGGCGTGAGGGCATGGATGCCGAGTTTGTCCGTTCAGAAGTGGCGCGTGGCCGGGTCAGGGACCTTACCCGGGTAGTGATATGACCGCTACACCTTGATCATCAAGGATCGCTCTTCCTCTGTTTGCGGACTTGTATGTGCATGTCTGCCAGAGGCCATCATCCCTGCCAACCGCAATCATCCAGAGTCCCTGACCTCAATGACGGACAACTAAAGAGGTTGTTTGCATTTTTTTCATTCTCTCAATGTTTGCCGTTTGAGGAGGGACGTCATTGATCAGACAAAGTTGACCTGGGGTACTTCCCAGTTTGAGTGATACTGGGTTCCGGCATTACAGAAAATGGTCCCTTGGGCTTTCTGATTCAATCCACTCATGCTTCTCCCGAACACGACCCTGACATGCGACATGAACTGGAGAGCAGGTCGGAGCCAATGATCATCGGCCGTCACTTCAAGGCCCAAACGGCCGCAATCAACAGTTTTTTGGTCAAGAACATGGCTGGCAATTGCTCAAGCATGCCTTTTGGAGTCTTTCACTTTGCAATCTTGCAATTGAGTCTGGAGTTTGTAGGTGAAGATCAACTCGAACATTGGTAACTCTGCAGTTGCCACGGACTGAGCTCAGCTTGAACGCACAGGACTCTATAGGACTGTGGCTTTGCAGAAAGAAAGGTAGATGCTGCTTATGTCTCAGCTAAGAAAGGGATCCAAGGATTGAATTTTCTTCCTAGGCATCCACAATCGAAGAAGAAGTCGAGAAGTTGCAATGGAGCGCCTTGTGGGGTGCCATGCTGAGTTCCCAAAGCAGAAGTAGCCTTGAAGTAGCTCCAAACAAACAAACAGGCCGTTCAGGGTGGCTTTGATATTGGCACATTTCCAGCATGCGTTTTCGTGCCGATATTTTATGGAACCCATGGTTGAGTTCAGCTGCAATGCCATAGCCTGAAGCATAGGCTGTTCCAAGTTCCAGCTTTGCATTCCTCTTTTTGGCGTTCATTCCATGTTGGTATGAGACGTCGAACACATATGATCTTTCTGGCAGTCTTCCAGCCAGCCACAAATGGGAACAATGTAGAGGCGTGCTGACTGCAGGTGCTGATACTTTGATGGACTTGAGCACTGGAAAGCACATCCACGAGACGCGTGAGTGGATCATTCGCAACAGCGCCAAAGTCTCAAAGTCATATTCAGTCATGATCCATAGACTTCCAATGACTTCCTCTGTCAACATGTCGTGAATAGACTCTGAATAGCCATTTTGATCTGAAGACTTGGAAGAAGGATGGGCGCCGGGCCTAGCCTGAGGCCTTGCCGGTGGGCACCGTGCCGATCTACCAGGCCTTGGAGAAGGCCAAGTGGCGAAGCGAAGTTGGAAGCTCTCGACACCATTTTGATGTTTGAAGTTGAACAAGTTGATCATCTGCTAGAAATGTTGACTCAGGTCGTTATATGATGTTTGTGTTTTCTCTTCTTCAGACTTCAGGTGGATGGTATTGCGGAGAATCTCACTTGGGAGGCGCTGTGGGAGTGTCTGTCATGCAAAATGTGCTGTTTTTTCATTCAAGAACGCCTGTGCTTTCAGCATGAGTACCATACATATTTGGACATATATATATATATAGATAGATATACATGTGCGTGGCCTCCTCGCTCGCGGTCCTCCTCGCGGGCGGCTACGGGGCAACTTCGGTAGCAAGTACCTGGTGTGGGTCCCTATGGAGCTGGTAGACAGGTGCAGGTGTATGGTGAGGGCAGAGTCTGGAGGTGTATGCTGGGGGGCTGGATGCCGAAGGCAAACCCATTCCAGTCCTACGGGTCTGGAGCCTCCAGGTGTTTCGTGTTTGTGCTTCTGCTGGTGTTTCTGCTCAACGGTGGGGCTAAATCAATCACGGCACCTAGCTTCTTCATTGGCATGAATCGAGAGCAAGAACGGTGTTGCCTTGGGGACTACTTCAATCACCAACGCAGTCAAATGGATATCGAAGTTGTTTGAAGCTGTATTCGACTTGATGGTTTCCGAATCGAAAACCTATGCGGCTTGGCTTCTCTTTCACTCGGCTGCAGACGCCGGATGGTAACGAGTTCAACAACACAGGAACATTGTCTATGCCAATGACACTACGGCTGGCTCCAGTGTCGACAATCGCTTGTCCCTGAGTCTTTGGGTCATCTGCCAAGATGCTATTGGTGCAGCCTTGAAAGATTGGCGGATTCCGATGATGGCTGGCTGGTGACATTGGCTTCAACCTGCGAACGTGTTGCACCGTTTTGCATTCGTTCATGATTCTTTTGACCTTTTCCCTAATGGCTTTTTATCTATTACACTTGCGCGGCCTGTCTATCGATGACTTCGAACTGAACTTGCTTGTCAGGATCGCGTGAATCTTCTCCAGCGGGCTCGGTCACAAAGTTGGCCTGAGCTTGTTCCTGGTTGCGTCGGGGGCGCTCTGCCTTCCAGTGTCCTTTCTCACCACATAGTTCGCAATGTGTCCTGGAGATTCGATCTGAGTTCTTGTTCCCCAGATAGCTGGAAGCTATAGGGGTTCTTACTTCTCAATGGATGGGTTCCGGATTGCGGAAATTGGCTGCCGCTGCCGCCTTGTTTCCCAAGCTTGTCTCCCTTCATGATTTCGCGTTTAGCTGCCGCTGCCGGCTTGTCTCCCAAGCTTGTCTCCCTTCATGATTTCGCTCTTAGCTGCCGCTGCCATCTTGTTTCTCCAGCTTGTCTCCCTTCATGACTTGGCTCTTGGCCGCCGCTGCCGCCTTGTTTCCCAAGCTTGTCTTCATGACTTCGCTTTTGGCTGCCGCTGCCGGCGTGTCTCCCAAGCTTGTCTCCCTTCATGATTTCGCTCTTGGCTGCCGCTGCCGTCTTGTTTCTCAAGCTTGTCTCCCTTCATGCTTTCGCTTTTTGCTGCCACTGCCGCCTTGTCTCTCAAGCTTGTCTCCCTTCATGATTTCGCTCTTGGCTGCCGCTGCCGCCTTGTTTCCCAAGCTTGTCTTCCTTCATGATTTCGCTCTTGGCTGCCGCTGCCAGCTTGTCTCCCAAGCTTGTCTCCCTTCCTGATTTCGCTCTTGGCTGCCGCTGCCGCCTTGTCTCCCAAGCTTGTCTCCCTTCATGATTTCGCTTTTGGCTGCCTCTCAAGCTTGTCTCCCTTCATGATTTCGCTCTTGGCTGCCGGTGCCGCCGTGTTTCCGAAGCTTGTCTTCCTTCATGATTTCGCTCTTGGCTGCCGCTGCCGCCTTGTCATTTTCTTGCCTGCCTTTGACGCGGATGCTGTTACAAGATGATTTAGGTCTTGTTTACCTTTTCCATCCTTTCCCCGGCTTTGAGTCAAATGTCTCCCAAGCTTGTCTCCCGCTCTTGCCATGGTGTCCCACTTTTCTTGAAGTGCTATCTGGGGTCTATGCCGGTATAATTTGTCAAGACCTTTTCGGAACCCTTTTCCTCCAAATCCAGATCCTTTTCCAGACTTGCTTCCGCCAGAAGCACCTGCTCCTGTGCTTCTCTTGAATTCTTGAAACGTGTCCTCCAGGTCCTTCTCGAAGGATTGAATCATGAGGGCGTCGGCGTCCCCCATGGCCACAAGCTGATCCATTGCTTCAGCTGTAATAATATCATCATCTTCTGAATATGCCATGTAAGCATGGCTGGATTCTGGTTGAAACTCTGTTGCATTGTTGGGTCCTCTTCAGGCTCAATGTAATTTGTTGGATGCGCTTTCTTCTTTTCTCCAATTCCCGCTCGTAGCAGAACATTGGTTGACAGGCTTCGCATGGCATTCTCTACAGCGCCCACTTCCAGAACACCTGAAGCAATTGTAAAAACCTTCTTCTTGTCATCGTTGCTCAATGAGCTTTGCTTCAACAATACAAAGGCCTTCACCGGCTTGATTGTTGTATCGGGCCCAAGCTCATCAAAAGCCACCTGTAGCCTGTTTACAAAAAGATTGTGCAGACTCACCACCCTTCTGAGTGGTTTTGTAGATGGCGCGATCGAAGAGCTCGAATGTTTTCAACTCTGCCAGTTCCTGTCAGGTCGAAAGGGCCGAAAGCAGGTGGGTAACCCCGTGCTCGGGATCTGTCAAAAGCTTTGGCTTGATGGCTCGCGCTTGATGCCATGCAGTTCCCCTGCGCTGAAGAGCTAACACTTGCCAGAAATTTCACTTTGGAGACATACTCTTTCACGTCGTCGGTAGCCGGATCTAAGGTGGGCAACAATGTCCAGAAACCAGAACCTTTGGCATCTCCACTGGAAGCTTCTGCCATGGCTTTCCGTCAAGATCCTACTCGACGGGCCCCTTTGAGCTCCGCTACCAATGTGATTGCTTTCGCAATCCCACTGGTAACGAATCTCCCCAGGGATGACCTAAACCAAAACAGCCCTATCCTATCAAATCCCTTCCACCAGAAGCGGCCTCGCTTTTCCGTGCCTGCCGCAGTGCCTTGAGCCATCGTCATTGCGATGGAGCACATTCGAAGGAACCCTGCGTGCCGACTTCACTGGATTTTCACATATATATATACACACATAATTTTTGTTTTTTGCTTCTTTATTTGTGTACACTTTTGGCAGGTTATTGTGGGTTTCCCAAGAAGTCCTGTGAAGGTCTTCCGTGAGACGCTGATTGAGCAGGCTGAACAGGGTGTTGACTATTGGCCCAGAGCCCAAGCAAGGCATTTCAAGAGCCTTTCGTCAATGACACGTTGGCATAGGGTCCTGCCAGTTGATTGGACTAAGAAGAACACTTGAGCGGGTGGAGTTTGGAAGTTGCTGAGGACTATCCATGCTGGTGTTCTCCTGCGCTTTGTACCTCTCACTGCTGAGCGCCTCACTGGCATCGCCCAGACACCTAGCGAAGAGTCTTTGTCAAGGTTTTAATTAACAAAATATCACACCAAGACTGAGAAAATTGGATTTGACATTAAGGTCAGTCGTGGTGGTTCCATCCATGCAAAATTGTGTATCTCCAAGCACGAGGCTTGTTGGATTACAGGGTTTTCTGAAGGATGTCAGCTTATCAGTTAAGAGTTTGAAGCCGTGGTGGAAGTGATGTATTTGTGATCATTCGTGCAGCACGGCGCTCTAGTGGCGCTTGATATAAAATACATACAACAGGCAACATATGAGTGTAGGCAAATGTTTGGATGTTGGATTGCAGGAAAATTTTGCCTATGAACATTGGGATGACATCCTGGATATCTGCAAGCAATACGACGTGTTGGTGACTCAGACTTCTCTGTTTCTGGACAAACTGTGGCAACAAAATGCACTTGTTGCTCGAGGTCCTTGAGCATTGGTGATGGTCTTCGTCCTGGCTGCATCAAGGCTGAGACTTCGGGTAGTTCCTCAAAGCGCCGCTTCCAGTGCGCCCAGTGCTTTTCGAGCAAGCGCCTTTGCCGCCAGGATGCCAACGATGAGGCGCAATTCAGCGAGCTGAAGGTGCCAATGCGAGCAAGAAAGGGAGGAAACGAGCAAGGCAACAAAATAATCTCATGGACAAACATGAAGCAACGATAATTTTTTCTTTCGTGCATCTCGCAGGTTTCTCGTTTTTCTCATTTTTCTCATTCTATTTTTTTTTTTTGTGAGGTGCAAGGTGAGCTCACCAAGCGCGCCTGGGACAAGGGTGTGCAGGCATGACGGTCATGACGGTCATGGCATAGTGCTGGTGTGCATTTCTACTTTTTTGCTGGTTGGTCTCAAAAACAATCAGCTTCTGAAGTTTGTGTTGTTTTCATTCTTTGAGTGAACCTGTCACAAGAGTGTCAGCATGCTCGATTCTCAAATCATGGAGTTAATTGTATCTTTAAAGCAGAGCTTTAAGAGAACATTATAAGTAACTGCTGAAATTCATAACAGCAAGTCTCATCTCTTCTTCCGTTTTTCTGATTTCAGGTGATGAACGAAGGGCCGGGACATGTGCCTTTGCACAAGATCCCTGACAACATGCGCAAGCAGCTTGAATGGTGTCATGAGGTGGGATTCCTAGGCCAACATTTTCCTCCCTGCCACAGACACAGCTGCGACACAGATGCCATTTTTTCTCCATGTGAAATTGTTCTGTAACAAGAAGCTACTAGGGGCTCCTGGCCTTACTACTGGGAGCAAGCCTACTAGGAACAAGGGGCTACTAGGAGCATTCTTACTACTTATGTTGATGTTTCGGTCGCCCAGACTGGCAGTGCTTTTTCAGGCACCATTCTACACCTTGGGCCCCCTGACCACAGACATCGCCCCTGGCTATGATCACATCACAAGCGCAATTGGGGCAGCCAACATTGGAGCTATGGGGACAGCGGGAAAGGGAGGAAGGGGCAAGGAAGGTCTTGCTTTCTAGATTCTAGATTCCTGAATAGGGATTGATCCTTTGGAAACCGGTCATATTGAAAGCTTCCTGAAGACACTGCTGTCTCCGCAGGACAGCAATGCTTTGCTACGTCACTCCCAAGGAGCACCTTGGTCTGCCCAATCGGGAGGACGTGAAGGTGCATAAACAGAATCGGAAAGCACAGCAAGACGTAGCGTTTGATGTTGCTCGTTTGATCCGTATGGACACTTGGAAATTGAACTGTTCATATTGTTTTGAACTGATGTGCAGGCTGGCATCATTGCTTATCGCATCGCTGCACATGCTGCCGACTTGGTGTTTCGCTAAGAAGTGAGGCTTTCAAGTTCGCAGTTGGCAGTATTTCTCCCAACAGATAGTAATATAAGGATCCTAGCATCCCCAACCAGGGCCCCACACCTTTAAGCCTTGTTTATTCTATTCTTGTTTCCCTGATGAGTCTCAGCCTCATGAGTGATGACCTCGTTTTGTCGCACCAAGCTGTGTGCTGAGGCCAAAGGGCATCCAAGGGCCCAAGAGTGGGATGATACTCTTTCCAAAGCCCGCTTTGAGTCTGGACCCGACAGGATAACTTGAACGGAGCATGCGACGCATAGGATTCAAGATGATTCAAGTGTTGCAAGAGAATCGACCTGAGCATGCATTTTTGTAGACACACACACACACATGTGTGTGTATGTGTAGGCATATATATATATATGTATACTGTATATGTACTGCAGGGTCCACCAAAAACCTATCTCGCAGCAAGTTGCCAATCTTGCGGTGCAAAAGCCGTTTGGCCTCCAAGGTTCCGTTGGAACGACCAATTCAATCTTGCGCTGGTGCCTGGGCTGCCTGGGCTCAGTTTTTGAGGAAATGGCATAGTGCACCCGGATGCTGTCAGGACCCTGTCACCGCCCGTGCCATGCACGATGAGACAATTGGTTCGGACGCTGGGAAGTCTGCACACTTTTGCTCAATGTGTGGCCCAAAGCTGGAAGCTCAGCATGACAGTGAGATCGACAAATTATCCAGAGTTCACCTAATCCAAAGCTGTCCACGGCCATCCAATCGCTCTTTCAACTGATTAGATTTTAATGTCAGAAACAGAAGCAGGTTTCCAATTAAGTTAGAGGCTATCGCTAATAGGTTGGAGGCCATCAAGGACTCCTTTCCTCTGGCCGGTTGTGGCCGCTATCAGTGAAGGATCAGTTCCTCAGGTTTTGCTCCATGAAGATCACCGATGACGTTCGTGCCTATGCCGCAGAGCGCGGCTATGCCGAGGACGACGCAGAAAAAGTCCTTGAGGAGACCCACCCTGCTTCTCCATCGGTTTATGCTGGTAGCTTGTGACACTTCAATGTCTCCAGTTCAAGCTGGTCTCTAAGAACAACCAGACTCCAGACATTGCATCTTCGAACTCCTTTGCAGCAAGGTTTCTATTGCATGCACTTTAGACAGAAGCACATAATTGGGATAGTATTTTCATAGCAGCACCCCTGTGTCATCTCCTGTTCTTTGCTTGTTCCTCGGGGTCCAGTTGATGTGATACAATCAGCAGACAGATTTGTGGAGGAATACGTTCTTTTTGGGATGGCCAGCTGGGCAATCTTGGGCAATCTGGTTTTCTTGTACCACCTGGTTTCCAAGCTGTTAGGTTGGAGGCCATCGCTACTAGGTTGGAGGCCATAGATACTACTAGGTTGGAGGCCATCGCGTACTAGGTTGGAGGCCATTGCCTGAAACACAGGAGGGCATGAAAGAGATGAGCAAGAAGTTTGCCGAGGTTGGCAGTGAGGTGCCAGCCCGGATTCAGAAAAACTGCAATGGATAAAAATGCCGCTCTTCTGCCAGGTCTACTTGCCCATGAACGATTTGATGTAGGTCTCATGGAGTGGTGAACAGGCAATCTGTTTGTACAGATGTCTTAGCTCTGCAATGCGGTAACCCTGGCAGTCGCCCACATCACGAACCGTGCCTCGCGGGTGCGACTTGCATCACTTTTCAGAAACAATCTGGCGCCAGTTGCCAAAGGGTGGAGCATTCAGAGTGCTCAAGCCCCACGAGTCTGTTCCTCACGTGAGGCGTATTTTCTAAGAAGGGGCCACAAGATTGGCGTTCCAAGTCCCCTAGCTAAGCCTCAAAGAAGGAGTTCGCGAGGTTTGCAAAATAGAGCAAATGTCATGCCGAAGTTGCCCATGATAGAGCTCTCATTGTATGTCTTGTGTAGGTTGTTGAAGACAGATACTGCTATGAATCTATTGTGCCTGCATGCATATAAATGTGTAGAAACAATAAATACATAAATAAGTAAATTGATTTTATATATAGTATTATATCACGAAAGCCAGCCGATAGGCAAGGCTTGAGGTTGCTGGAGCGAATGGAGAAATGGGGGTTCTGGGCGGGGAGTTTTTGTTGGTGTGTTGCTTGTTGTGATTTTATGTTGATGTTCAACGTTTGTTCCTTACCTTTGTTTTGCTGGGGTCTTGTTATGCGTGTTTTAGGGGCATAACTTTCACTTCATTGTTTGGATTGAATGAAGGGGACAATTGTTGAGGTGGTCAGAATTTCCATGTGTAGGTTCAGGCTCAAATTCTACCACGTTGTTCTTCAAAAATGTCGATTTTTTTGCTTCAAGCTCATGTATTGATTGAGGCTAGGCGCTGTGGTTCCTGTTTGGTTTTGCATATCAAGCATCTGGAGGCAGACGATTTGGAGTTGTTCGGTTGGCGGCAGGCTTTGAATTGCTTGGGGGTGCCCTTTCTTTCCCGTGGCCAGGTCTAGTTTCTGGACTCAAAAGGGCACCCCATATGGGTGTATGATGCCATTAGTTGAGGGCCTGCGAGAGAAACTAAACAAAGCACCCATCTCCTCATCGATGCTCCTGGGCTCTTGTCCTTCCGACATCTGCTCCCGAGCTCGTGATGAGAGGTCTCGTGTGCTTGAGCGAAGCCAGCATGCATAGCCGTATCAAGCTCTGATCTCTGCAGGCCGCATGTTGCCGACCTCAGGGCGGCAACACGCCGCCGGCAAGCGCGCCTCACTTCCTTAGGGGTGCCCCTTTTCACCTCCAAATCGCCCCTGAACCGGGGCGAAAAAGGGCACCCCCCCGCCCCCCAAACCTATGTCTTCTACTTTCCACTTCTACCCCCGATCAGTGTGGCTGCGATAATCTTTGCCCGATGTTACCCCGTCACTTCCTTTTGCACGCCAAGTCTTTGCCCGGGCCTGCCCTGAGGACTTGCTCTCAGGTACATTAAAAAAGAATATATATATATATTATTAGATTCTTAAGATCGCTTTGCTTTGACTTTGGCTTGCCACATGCCACCTAAGCTCCAGCATGGCTAGCCAGCAACAGCCGTTGAGAGCAAGGGTGTGCGCACACACTTTGGAGCCTTTATGACTTCTCGTTCGCTTGAGCGTTGTTGGGCCTCAGGTCGGCTCAGGTTGTTAGTCAGGTGAGTCAGGTGTAGCAGAAAACAGGTTCGACTCCCAGGCTGGAATCGGAGGACATGTGTTTTTTTCGTCTAAAAGCAATGGCTTTGGAAACGCAGCTGATCTTTGTGCCTTGAGAATGGTTCAAAGCCGAATCCGCTGCATTAAAGAAGTCAATCGAAACAGTAACAGTGGACTCTCAGTCAGCCCTGCCCAGGCCATGGCACATGTGGCCCGGGAGATGTTGAAGAAGGAGTTGTGTCAATTGATGAAGGCACAGCGCCTGCGCAGATTGACATCGCTGGTCTGTAAATCACTTTGGATTTCTTTGACTTAAATCTCTTTGGATCACTCTGGATCACTTTGGATCACTCTGTAAATCACTTTGGGCCACGAATCTCAGTACACAGGATGAAAGCAGCGGCTTCTCTGTGGGTCTGGATGATGATTCGGAGCGTTGGTTGGTCGGTCCTTCTGCTTGAAGGGTTTGCCCCTAGAAATGGCTGTAGAGTCATTGGAGTTTGTTCATGTTTTTTGCTTCGCTGCAACTTTGACACGGCAGATTTGCAGGACTTTTTCAAGTGGCGCGTTGTTTTTGAAGGACCTCAGGATAGCTTGCACGGTTTCCCAGTTTAAAACAAGAAAGGAAGAAAGGAGGACAAGAAAAGGTCTGAACGTCTAAAGTCGAAAACAAAAATAGCAAAGGAAAAGAAGGAACAACGCCACGACTAAATCTAGAATACATATGTGTATATCTATATATAACTATGCACAAATGTATACACATCCATTTGGATCAATCTAGGTACGAAGGTGGCATCTTCAGTGCAGTGCTGAACTTCCCGGCAGACTTTCCAAACAATCCTCCAGAGATGAAGCTTGGAGACCGAGGGAAGTAGTTGAATTGGAATTCTTTCGTTTTGGTGGCATAGGAACAAGAACGCTACTAGGGGCTCCTGGCCTTACTACTAGGAGCAAGGACGCTACTAGGGGCTCCTAGCATCGCTACTAGGAGCAAGGACGCTACTAGGACGCATGAATACGGTCGATGCAAAACTCGGCTCGTTTTTGTGAGATTGCAACCTAAGAGCGACGACCTCCCACCTACTAGCGATGACCTCCAACCTAAGAGCGATGGCCTCCAACCTGCTAGCGATGGCCTCCAACCTAAGAGCGATGGCCTCCAACCTACTAGCACGGCCTCCCACCTACTAGCGATGGCCTCCAACCTAAGAGCGATGGCCTCCAACCTGCTAGCGATGGCCTCCAACCTAAGAGCGATGGCCTCCAACCTACTAGCGACGGCCTCCCACCTACTAGCGATGGCCTCCAACCTAAGAGCGATGGCCTCCAACCTGCTAGCGATGGCCTCCAACCTACTAGCGATGGCCTCCAACCTGCTAGTGATGGCCCCCAACCTAATAGCGATGGTCTGAAAACCTAATAGCAATGGCCTGGCACGCTACCAGGTTTGAGACGGAGATGTGGCACCCGAACATTTACCCGGATGGGCGTGTGTGCATCTCGATCCTCCACCCTCCTGGCACTGACCGCTTCAATGACCAGGCCGTATATTTTTACGCCTTGCGTGTTTCTTTCTATTTGTACTTAGTTCTTAAGATTTGAGAGATTGGGCCTGGGCTACTCTTAGGAGACCGCTGACGAGCGGTGGCGGCCTATCTTGGGTGTTCACAGCATTTTGATCAGTGCTTGGCTCTCAGACGCACCAGGCTGCAGCTCCTAGCAAGCGGCACATTCATGAAAGATTTTGCTGAGGTGATCTCAATGCTTCTCGATCCGAATTTGAACTCTCCTGCCAACATCGATGCTGCGGTGCATCTGAAAAATGATCCAGAGGGATGGAAAAAGAAGGTGCTTGGCTAGCACGGTCACGAGTTATGCTGCTCTTTTGGAGAAAATTGTTCAGAAAGGCATCATTGCCCATCATGGCCCCATAAGTTGTGGTGCATGGCTGTTGGTTGGGGAGACAGCAGGTGCGCCAGCTGACGCGAAAGAGCGTCGAAGGTTGAAGCAACTCGGAGAAAGTCTAAGTTTCCACCCATCATTCCAGATGGCTTAGCAGTTATATATCCTTTGAGATATGCTATCCTGATATGCTGAATCCAGCAAGACTCTATCGGTAGTAGTGTTGCTCCTTCTGAACTTAGTGAGAGCTCAAGTGGGACATTTTCGCTACATATTTTTTTCAGTCAGCTTGCAGCTTGAGACCGAGGAAAATTCATTGACTTTGGCTTTGTGTTGCTTTTAAGCACGAGGGTGTGACCTTTTAGGTTCAATTCGCGCAAGTTTCAGTGTTTAGCTCCGCTTCGAAGCGCCAAATAGGTGCGCCGTGAGGGCAGAAACACACTTGGAAAGTCCGCGTTCTTGTCTTACAGACACTTTAGTTGAGTAAATTGGCCTAAGCAGTGGTAAGCAGGCGTTTGCCCATGGGATGCTGCAATAGAGATGTAGTGAAGCTTGAGATAAGGTTAGACATGCCATCAAGCTGTCGTTGACTGATTTGTGCATGGGTTCGATGGTTCAAGTCAGGAAGTATGCACCCATAGAGGGCTCCCACAGAGCTAGACTATAGACAATGCCAGCAAGAGGGAGGAGCGATCCTGTCAACAGGAATGCAGGAGAACCAGGCATAAAGAAGACAAAGCACGACGCAGCCATGTGAACAGCATCAGCAGGATCAGGTACACCTGGTCAGAAAGGGTTGCATTGGGTAAGAGATCGAGGTTGCATTCGCCATGGCGCCCCTTCGCTTTCTTTGGCTTTGCGCTTGCCTCGTGGCAGCTGAAGAGTTCCTTGCACAACAAGAAAGCAACGGTAGAGGTAGATCCCAGAAGGCTGTTTGTTGATGCCATGGTCAAGAAAAAGGATGCGAAAGAAGGAAGGTAAGGCGCCCTTTGAAAAGGCATCCTTTAAACCGACCTTGTGAAATTGCCACTTTTATACAATTTTTTTCATATCCTTTTCCTTGCTTAGGTGTAGGATGCCCTAAAGGAAGGAAACACGGGCTCAGAGAAGTGCTCAACGAGGTTTTCGCTGGCTGGGAAATCTGTCTACTTCTTGGTAGTGGACCGCTTTGCACGAAACCAGGCCTCAAGTACATTTCAATTGCTGAGCGTCAGTACCAATTTTGGTCTTTCCTTTTGTCTTCTTGCGATGACGGCCATAACCTGCTTTTATTTATTTATTATGTAGTCTATTTTTTCGAAGAGTGCAACAGGTATCACATTCCAGCATGAACATGTGCTTTGATGGATCCATTATTAATTGATGTAGGAGTCTCGTCCAGTTGTTTGTTTGCTTCACTCATTCTTTAGAGTCTATGCATTTTGATTGAGCGCCTGTGGGAGGCATCTAACACGACTTTCTGCGATTTGTCGGCTGATTGGATCAACAATACTGGAGGAGGCTACTGTGGGGGTACGCTCAACGGGATCATCAACCGGTTGGACTACATCCAGGTGCCTCAGGGTCGAAGATCTGCGTGAAGATGCGAAGCGTGTCATTTCTATCAGAATATATTGGAGACTCTATCGCTGCTCATTGTTTTCTTTCTCTTTCTCGCTATTCTTGTTTCCTCACTTGTTGACAGTTTCTTTCTCTTTTCTTGGTGGTGGGTAGGCTGTGAAGGGATGGCCAGGGCCCGCCAGTTGCTACCTTGTAGCGACAGGAAGCGACTTAGAGCGTCTTAGAGCGGTCTTTCGACGGGAAGTTGTTCCACCTGAGGGTGGACAATATGTGAAGAACCCTCGCTGGAAACGGTTTCGAGACATTTTGATTGAGTTTCTCATTGAATCCATAGACTATAGACTCGACCCTTCTTTGATTTCCTTTCGGTGGATTCCTTTGGAGTTGCTTCAAGACGTTGGAAGTCAGTCCACATCCTTCAGGGCATGGGCTTTGACTGTGTTTGGATCACTCCCGTGGTGGACGCCAACGGGTTCATGGGATACGATGCCGTGAACATCTTTGACATTGAGCCTCATTTCGGCACCAAGGAGAGCTACCGAGGTACAGCCGGTACTTGCAGCAATCTTTTTTGGCATTAAGGCTTGCCATTCTTGCCTGTGGCATGGACAAACATCAGTTCTCTTAACCAGGGAAAGCCGGACGGTTGGGCACACATATCCGCGAAGGTTTGTGTGTTTCTTCAACTTGAAACGGTCACTTACATGAACTTTTCCATTTGGGATTGAAAAACCAACTTCCTTCTGGCAGGAAGACTTGCAGCGTCTTTCAGAGCAACTTCATCAGCGTCAAATGTGTTTGATCTTGGACATCGTGCTCAACCACATGAGGCCTGACTTGGCAGCATGCTACTAGGAGCAAGCATGCTACTAGGGGCTCCTGGCCTTACTACTAGGAGCAAGGATGCTACTAGGGGCTCCTACGCTACTAGGAGCAAGGACGCTACTAGGTTCAGCATGCAGCAGCTGTATTTGTGTGCGTGTCCCAGCTTCCAGTCTATGTGCCATGAGGACATGTAGAGTTAGACTTACTGACTTACTGTAGGTCTCAGAGCTGCCAGGCCATTAGTGATAAACGGACGAGTCAACCTCTCCTCGATCATTCCTTTTAATCAGGAAGCTTGGCACCAAACCTTTCCTAAACAGCATCGGAGGGGCCAAGTTCACGTAACATCTTTAGTATCTTGGAAAGTCTGCCTTCAACCCGCTGTTATTGGCTGTAAGCCAAGGAGAGTCACTATCATCAGCGCAATCGAAGTCACAACCAATCCTTTGAGGATGGGGCTTGCAAAGCTGAACATGGATGGATTCGGTCTAATTCTTAATGGTCACAGATACCAAGTTTTTGCGTGTCCAACTTGCGCTCGTGAGGAGTATTTGATCGCCTGGCCACCACCTCCTTTCAATCCATCAGAGGATAATGCCAGGCTCAAGAAGCTCAAACAAGCTGGAGAGGCCTGAGACGACCGAGTCATTTGATGAAGCTAAGCTTTGAGTCTGTGGACCACACTTAGATCCATGCTCGCAAGAGCTCTATCAGTTTGGACTTCCCGTGAGGTAGTTATTGATTACATTAGACCTTGACTCACACACAACGGCAAGAATGCTTGGTCAGAGAACAGAATTGTTGAAACAAGTGCATTAGCCCTTTACGATATTTATCTTCCCAAAATGAATGGATGGTTGGGTAGGGACATTTTGGGATTTGAAACATACAGGGGTAACTCCTGATCTTGATGCCATTTTGGCTCAAGATCAGGGCAGGGTTTTGTTTTCTGCTATGCCGCGCATCACGCGTTCGACCCCGGTGGTGTGGCACCCTGGGGCCCGTTGGTGGCGTCGCGCGCATCGGGGTTCAGACCCTGCCTCACTGTCGCCGGAAGAGCGACGCGCTGATCTTGGGGCACGGTCCGCCTACATTCTGGCTATTTGGGAGTCAGTGGATCGGCGGCCGGACCTCGAGGCTGATCATTGCCGCTGTTGTGGCGCCTTCACAGCATCGTGGTGCGAGGGCTGCTACTACCGACAGCCCGATACATTCGGAGCGGTGTGCACGGCTTGCGATCACTTGCACTTGGTCTGTGACCAGTGCCGGTTTCGCAACGTGACCTGGGAGCAAGGTCATGCCGCGTACATCGAGCAAGGCGGCAGGGACTCCGAGGACCAGATCGAGATCACCGGGTGGGGTGACAGGGCCCATCCACCCCATTTCGAAGCTGCCGCCGGCCAGATCCCCATTGAGGAGGTCGCGCAAATCTTCGGAGTCTCAACCCAGCAGGCCAGAGACCTCATCAGGGAGCAGCTATCCGGTGCCACCCAAGCAGCCCCCAGTGCCTCTGCCGAGGCAGGCCAACCCTAAGCAGCCAAGGTCACCCCCGGGACCTCCTCCACTTCGGCTGAGGCGGCCAAGATCCCCCTCGGTGTCGCCTGGGCGCGGCCGCACTCCGGTTTTGACTGTGCGCCAACCGGACCAGGCCATGGAAGCCGATTTGTTGGAGTTGGTTGCTGAGCGCTCGGATGAGTTGGCGCAACTGTTTTGCCATCAGGGCGTCCAAACCTGTCAGGACGTGGTTGGCCTTTGGTCCCACGGCGGCGAGTTAGTGACAGAGCTTGAACACATCCAAGGCCCCCTGCACGCCAAAGAAGCATTCCAGGTTAGCGCCTTATGGACGCTTGCAGCTCGCCGTGCCCATGATCACCACAGGCGTGTTGCCAGAGCAGTGATCGGGAACCGGGTATCGGTCGTGGAGACCACATCGATGGTGGTGGCACCCAAGGGCACTGGACCACCTGGCCATGTTCGGCAGCTCCTGGAGACCGGGTTCCCAGGGCGGCCGCCCATGTTGCTTGCAGCTGTGGCTACTGATCCACACACCAAGGCCGAAGCCAAGAGGACCACGAAGACCCAGGCCCTCTTTGACCTCCTGCTGAACGAGTACCGGCCGCCTTACAGAGGCTAGGATTGGAGCTCTCCTGGCGGCTTTGCGGCGGTGGCAGCGGTATGCCTCTGAGAAGGCCTTTTCCGTTGGCCCAGCCAACCCCGCTCCAGTTGGGCGAGTTCCTTCGAGCCGTGGCCCAGGAGCCCTACAGCAGCTTCATCTATGTTCCAGGCCCTGAAGTGGTTTCGGGTCACCTTTGGCCTCAACTTCAACACGGACCATTGGCTCACCCAACCACTCAGGCTGCTCCCACTGGATCATCGGGTACAGCAGAGGACCGAATTGCAACCGTGGGAGCTGGTGAACCTGTTATTGATGATGAAGAAAGCAACAGGTACACATTTGTTGATATTGACGCTTTTCGTCTGGGCAGATATCTTGTGTACGCTTTGAACATTTTCAACGGTCACGCTACATGGAAAGCCACCCCCAGAGCCTGATCTTTGAATGCTCCCAAGGCAAAGCTCGCCGACGTGGAGCACGGCCTCCCTACTCGTGGGCTATGCCAGAATTGGAATTTCAAGGGCTTAGCATCCACCGCATTGTGCGGGACTTCGTGACCATGGAACTGAACCCCCAGCTGAATTTCCTGTGGCCTGCCCTCCAGTTGAGCTCGGACGACCTCTGGGAGGTCACTGAGGGCACGGCTTGGCTCGTGAACAGGAAGATGTCGCGGGGCCGCTTCCTGGAACTGCTCCGGGGTGCGCTCATCACCATGCAGGTGGATCATGCTCAGGCCCGGGGGGCCGGCTACAACAGCAAGAGCAAGGCAGTATGGTCGATGGGCCTGCGCTACGCTGGACAGAAGGTATTGCACTCCGCTGCACTCAAACGGGCATTGGTCCAGAGGTTCCTACACCTGCTTCGGCGCAAGCTCCCCGAACTGGCCCTCAATGCAGATGGTCTCGTGGCACGTGATGCCTGGACCTGGCCAAAGCTGGCCCAGATGAATGAGAGCTTTGGGCCATTGGAGGCCGCGTTGGCGACTCCTGATGCGCAGCCCTCCTCGGAGGCGCCGCCCTTGGACACCTCCGGAAACGCCTTGCCTGTGGCAGGCCCAACCGATGAGGTTAAGGCAGAGGAGGTGGACAATGTTACGCCGCCGGTGGCGGCAGAGGATCAGACTGCCCAGTCCGTCTCTTCGTCCACTACATCCTCGTCCGCCTCGGATTGTTCGGCTGGGCAGTGATTTGGAGGGCGTCTTGGCTGAAGAGACAGCTATTACAGAGGCTAAATGGTTCGTACAGAGCCGCAGGGTACATATTGTCAGTGGCGTTATGGATGAGCGCCAAATGCCCTACTGCCGGGACTCGCCCTTCGCACAAGACCCTAAGAGCCAGGGTGAGGGCTTCGGCTTGGTGGTCCGGAGCCAATTTTGCCAGCGATGCCTGGCACGCATGCCGCGAGGCCTCTATGCCTCCCTGGCGAACCAGTGCGGATGGTTGCACTGAGAGTGGGAAACTTTGGAAGATTTTGTCTACTACTTCAATGAGTCATCTACGGAAACTTCGTTGGATCAGGTGTTGCAGCCCACCAAGTTCAAGATGAAGGACAATTGCGAGCTCGGCTCAAAGCTGCTCATGCAGCTGGCCTTGAGGCCATTCGCGCAGCCGCAGCAGAGGCAAAACAGCCCGAGGCAGTGGACGAGACACTCCCCGAGTCGACCATGCAACAGCTCCACAAGGACTTTGCCGCCAAATATGGAGTTGTGTTGGATGCGTTCTTGGAACCATCTGACGCACTCCGTTCCCGCATCTACAGGGAATTCCGCAAGAGGACGATGTCCGTTGTTAGTGTGGCCAAGGTCCGATCTATCCTTCACCAATCAGCGCCCAAGCAACAGGAATCAGTCCGCCTGAATTCGCGGCCGATGACCACCGTGTTGTCCGAACAGTGGTGGAGTACCACTTCTCTTTGCGCACCTTGGCTTATGCCTGGGCCTGGGGAGGGTTGTACAAGGTGTCTGATTTCGATGGCAATGAGAGGATCTTCATGCCCCTTGCTCCGGCTATGTCGTATGCTGATCAAGCCCTACAATTTACGATGGAGTTTGGGCAAGGGAGCCTGATTTGGTTGGAGCGGAATGATATCAACACCCGCTCCAAGATTGCCTCCCTCATCCGCCGTGGCTATACAGGGGCCTCTGCCTTGGAGGAGGCTTTACGCCAAACACATATCGATTGGCGCGCCCCGGGGGTTCAGCCTACCTTGCCTGAGGCAGGTACATCCCCCAAGCGTCGCTTGCCTGAGAGCGATCAGCCGCAAGAGAAGGGCCCGGCCAAGGAGCGGCGAATGGTCAAGACGGACAAATGGTCCACTATTATTTCTATGCTGAAAGGGGGCCAGAAGATTTGCAAGCCTTTCAATGATGGTCGTGGTTGCACGAAGGCGGGATGCAAAGATCTCCATCAGTGCGATGTCAAGTTGAGCTCAGGGAAGGCATGCCTTGCCAACCACGCCCGGCTCCAGCATGAACCCCGGGGGGGCCAGGCGAGGTGGCCTTGAGCGCACAGCCGCCCGCGAGCTCCACTCACTCTGAGCCCCACCGCCGTGTGCTCCTGCAACCGGAGGGCCAAAGCCGCCATACCCAGTTGGCTGACCGCCTGTACGCGGCCAAGCCTATTACTTGGAGGGGCCAAGGGGATTTGCTTCAGTTTGCATGGGCCAAACCATTCAAGGGTACATGGCTGGTTGGAGGGCTCTTGGTGGCCTTATTAGCAATGGGAGTCCATTTCTACGCCGTGGCAGCCGAGATGGATGGGGATGCAGCTCATTGCACTCAATCTGTCATGCCCCAAGTCGTCACTGTCCGGCGCGTGGAGGATCTGCGAGCTGAGGACTTTGTTCCTATGCTTGTCCGCCGCTCCTTTTGGGGGGTCCTCCTGGGTGGGGGCTCCCCGTGCCAAGGCAACTCTGCCCTGAATCGACGCTGCCGGGGCTTGATGACACGCGGTCACAACAGCCGCTGGAGCTTCAACGACTGGTACATGAGTTCGAGCAGCTTCCGGCTTGTCAGGGTATGGAGATTGTGGCTTTCCTGGAAAATGTTGCCAGTATGCCCAGGTCCAGCAGGCCTATGAGACGTGGTTGGCAGGACCTCCAATCTTGATGGACGCAGGTTCCTGCGGATGGGTATCGCGTCGCAGGTTCTTCTGGCTCCGATCCCGGCGAGGTGTGGTTGGCCCTGATCACCCATCCCCGGATTCTTGGCAATGGCGCACTTCGACTTCCGGTGTTGCCGAACTGCGGTATGCTGGGAGGAAACCCTTACCACCGCAGGTGTACTGGGATGACCACTTCATGCCCGTGCTGACTTTTGAATTGGTTTTGCAGCAGGAGGGGAAGGGAGCGATGCATACATTCACTCGGGAATTTTACCACCCTGAGGACCGGGTTCCTGAGTGAGTCCCGATGCAGCCGAGCGTTTTTATGCGGATCAGCGCCGCTTCCCTCCAGGTGCATATGAGGAAAGCTCTCTCCTCTGGCATGGGCGGCAATGGCGCCGACCTTCCCCTGCCGAGCGCTGCCAGTTGATGTGCTTGCCGCCGGCACTGGTAGCGCCAGCTCGGGGTAATCAAGTGAAGCGCGCCCAGCAACAGAATTCCTTCATCGGCAATGGCTTCCATATTTCTTGTGTGGTTGCATTGTTGGCCATGATGCCCAGTATTCTGGAAGCCAAGTTTGTGCCCTCCTTCACCTCGGCTGAGGAAGTGGCATTGGGGGCTCGCTTGCGGCGTACGGTCTGGGAACCCGGCCGCTTAGACGTCATGCCTGGTCTTGTGACCGCCGCCGAGGTATGCAAGGACCTTCAGCACCAATTTGCTTTCGCCGAGATCCCAGACAGGACATGGCAGCAGGTCTATGATCGGTTGCGGGCTTGTGATTTGGTGAGTATGCAAGCGTATCCTATGTGGCGGCGGCTACAACAGGAGCCTTGGCCTGTCCCCATTTGGGGGCGGATGAGGACAGCGATCTTTGCAGGGCTTACGGGACAGCGCTACCCCAGTTCCTCGGCCAAAGGTCTGGATCATCTCTTGCCCCCGGGGTTGGGCAAGGATGAACATGTGGTGCAAGCCATGCAGCTGCCGTCGCCGTTCCACCCTCACGACTGGCCTGAACCGGATGTATCATTTGTGGTCCAGGCGCTGGGTGTTTGGCAGCAGTTTCTCCCAGCATACAGCCAAAGGCTGAGGTGTACTTTGAAAGCTGTGGAAAAAGCTGTGTAGATCCTGAACCCGTGTCTTGAGGCAGTTAGGTGTAGTGCCAACAAAGTAGCGCATTCTAAGCAGCCTGCTTTTGTTGCTACCATGGCATGCCTTCTGCGGTGGCCGGACCGTGACATGGCCCGCCAACTCGTCAAGGGGTTTGCTACTGTGGGGTCCCTTCCGCCGTCCGGGGTGTTTCGGGGTATCCAACAAGCTGATAAACTCCCTCTAGCTGAATGGCTGGGCCCTTCAGCAGAAGCGGAGATACAGCGGTTGGTCCGTAGCCGGCCCCCCCTTCATGCCCCGGAAATTTTGACCATTACTCAAAAAAAACCCTTAAGGGTTTTTGCAGCCCACTACAGACTATGCAGGATATGAATGATCGATTTGGTGTTGGTGGCTGGCGCGCTGTGGAGCGGTTTCTTATTATTCAACCGGATGGTAAACAGAGGGTCATTGACAATGCCAGGAGAAGTGGTCACAATATTCATACCTCCATGCAGGAGACTATTTCGACCGTTAACGTTGACTTTGTTGCCTCCGTGGCTCGTATGGTCAATACCGCCCTGGAGACCCACCGGTGTGACCCTCCAGACTGGCTGGATTTGCGGTTAGGCACAGATGACTTGCCCGACGCCTATCGAGGCCTGCCAGTCCAAGAGGACAACTTTTTTCCAATGTGGCAATTTTTGTACCTGACGAAGGCTGGCAGTTTACCACCATGTACGGGCTGGCCTATGGATTAGAGAGTGCAGTTGTCAGTTTCAACCACTTCCCCCAGTTGTGTATTGCGATTGCCAGACGCTGTACGCTATCCTTTTGTGCCGCGTATTTTGATGACGAACTTGCGGTTGATTTCATTCACCATGCGGATGTCTCGCAGCGCGGACTCCAACTTGTGTTTCAACTCATGGGAGCGCCACCGCAAGCAGCAAAATCCTTTGCCCCAGGTCGTAACCGCCACTATCTTGGTACCTCAGTACACGTTGGAGATTTTGTGTCCTCGGGTTCTATCCGGTTTCAACCTAAGTTCACAACCCAGCGTAAGGTGTTAGCTAAGCTTCACCTTGCCCTGACCACAAATAGTATCTCTCCAGATGACGCTGGCAAGCTTCGAGGTGACCTAAACTGGATGTTTAGCATGTGCGCTGGTCAAGCAGGTAGGATCGCTGGACCTACGCTTACCGCCTTACAGCACCCTACTCTCTCTTTCCCGTGAGGATGCAGTTACCCTTCAGCTCTTAGCAGCTTTGGTAACCTGAAACGCTGTGTGGTCTCTTAGTGCCATGGTTTCATGGAGCCGCCTTGAGCCACCAGGATATTTTATGGTTCATCGATAATGAAGCAGCTGTCGCTTCACTTATTCGTGGATCCAGCTCCCAGATCGATGTCCATACCCTCGTTCAGGTCGCACATTTCTTGTTTCAACGATTTCAAATTCGTGTTTGGATCGAGTGGATTGACTCTGAGAGTAACCCCTCTGATGGCCTATCACGAGATGGGGTTCGTGATTCTTGGACAAGATCACAACCTTGGGATGTGTCAGAGGTTAGCTACCCGGAACCACTTCGGTCCGTGTGTCACCCTGCACACCTTCCCGCTTTTTGGAGTACATGGACAGTGGGTGATTTGAATACAGTGGGTGGTATGTTAAGTTCATCAAAGATGACTTTCCAAGCTGGTCCGTGTGTTTCCACCACGACTAATACCCAGTGTTATTTCATAACACTATTCTTTGACTGTTCATGTCTCTTAGAGCGTGACAGGTGCAGCTTGATAGCAGACTCCTTTCATTCGTGAAGAAAAGAAAGAGTCGTCACTGCTACTCTGTGAGTTCCCCTTATGTTTCATATTAAAAGTTGGTGCGGGCACGTTCCTGAGGCGTCCCTCGGAAATATCACAGTCTCAAACCACTGTCTTCGTTGGGCAGCGGATGGAAAGAGATTCACTGCCCCCGTGCTGTCTGTACAACGTCGAGTGGGAAAGCATTATATAGACCTTTTGCTTGTTGTACTATTTTGGAGACCAACCATTTCTTGCGAGGCAGATTGCGGACATCATGTCGCAGAACAGACAGAGTGTGCATGCTTTCCTGGCAACATGGGCTTCAATTGCCCTTCTCTAAGCCCCACCGATTTCAGCACAGGCCAGAGATGGAGACAGCTGTCGTTGCAGAGTTTGTTGCTCTCCAATACTTTCTTTAACGTTTTGCTTCCCTGGAGGCTACCTGGGTGTTCTGGGGGACCTGAATCACAGCAACCCTTTCGTGCGACAGACTTTGCTGAAGTGGGTGCACGAGATGGTTCAAAACTACAGCCCCTCAAAATTGAGCTGCAAGATGCATCATTTCTGAATTTTAATTGCGTTGGCTAGATTGCGATTATTTTCTTGAGAACGCGGCCTTCGAACGTGCTTTTGCTTGAACACATGCCATTTTCACCAATTAACCATTTCAACAATACGGGAGGATGAAATCCACTTAGATCATGTGCATCGCAGGACCCCATCCATCCAGTTTAAGATTCTGCTGGATATTTCAAAACCCTTTGCAGTTTCCATGGAATAAGGGCTTGAAAGATCTTGAAGGTAGAAAGAGCACTGCACATGCTCAGGTTTGGATGCCCTGCGGCTTGACACCGCGGTGTATTTGGACAGAGGCTTTCTACCAGAAGTCCAGGACCAAAGTTTTCTTGTGGGCTTTTCTGTTTTAAGGCACCGGTCATGGTTCTGAAGTTTTCATGGTGAGTCTTCAGCGAAGTCAACATTTTATAGTCCAGTTGGACTTTCTTGTCTCTGCTGAATGCTTGTGCTTCAAGTCCTGAAGAGGGCTTGTCTCAGGAAGCAGCTGGCGTGCAAGTGCTGGGCGAAGTGATTTGTCTCAGCTCAAGTTTTTGGGCTCGTTGTAGGCATTTCAAGGTGGATGCCCTCGAAAGAAGGCTGATAAGGTTTACAAACAGTTTGATGTGGGGGCAAGAATTGTAAGGAGATGACTGCGATGGAACAACTCTTCACTTGCCATAGAAGAGGACTTTGCACATTGAATCACAAGGCATGCGACTCTGCATTCATGTACTGAGGCGACGGTCAACAATCTGACTTTCCAGGCGTCGCTAATGCATGGCCTGGTCCTCTGTTTCGAGGTGTCGTAGTCACACTTGGTGACAAGATAGGGACTATATCTCAAGCATTCTGTAACAATAAAAACACAAGTAATTAGGGCCAGCCGTTTGTCAAGCTGTTTGAACAAAAGCGTGTAGGACAACCAAGACGACCAAATTAGGAACCGAAAAACCAGCATGCAGGAACATAAACAACCCGCCGGGTTTGTCACTGGCCCATGATTTGGTTGATTTCGTGCGTTTGGAAGGACCAAACCGCACATCCGACTTTGATTCAGCACCAGACTCTAGATCGAATCTGCACGAGAATTTATGGCAACGGAGATGAAAGAAACTAATCGTCGCTGCCAAAGACTCAGAAACCGCAGCGCAGCGCGGCTTCCCAATCCCATCGGAAAGAAGGTAAAGCATTTTCTATAGCTGCAATGGAAAAGGCCATTTCTCTAACATCTGAGTCGCCTTGCATTCCATGAAGATTACTGACAGGCTTCGCCAACCGGCGACGCCCTTGGGGGGACTGCGCGTATCCGGAGGCTCCTTGCGACGATTAGCGCAGCTTCTTACGCCTCACTCCCACACAGGTGTGCGCACCAGAGTCTGATCACGAAAGCTAGCCTTAGCTAGCTGGAGTTGCTCTTGCTTTAGCAAGTTAAGTGACGGGGTGGACGCACCTCAGAAACCTCAAATAATTGATTAAATCAATCTTATGGACCCCCCCCCCC